TTGGTAATCTCACAATATCATAAGGTAATAAGCTCATCTCTTGGTCTCTGCTGGTTGTTGGCCTTTCCATTCCATTTATTTTTTTACGTACTTTGATGGCAGCACTCAACATCCATTATTAACGAAATGGATTGGTTTGGTTTGGTTTTGGTCTCAACCAGCACGCCGGATTCAATGTAAAATCATCAGTTGAATTGGTTCGGTTATTTCCCTTTATAAGTAATTAGGCAAATATTATATATTTTCTTACATTCGTTATGGTGCTGATTTTCTCACTCCCTTTTTATTCACATATACTCCATTTTGTTTTTGGAAATTGGGCCGTACATAACATCTAAGCTAACAGTCTCAACATCAATTATTTAAGGTCGCATCGCATATAAGCTAACTGTCCTAACATCCATTATTTAAGTTTTCTGTAACCAACACAAAAAGTTCCAAGATTTTCAAACAAGCCCAAGTTCTTATGTTGTGTTGAGATTGAGATTGATGCGGCCCTTGGATATAAGGGTGTTTTGGGCCCTAAGATTAGCTGTCTTCAACTCAAAACAGTGGGGCAGCCTAGTAAATTAAAGGATAAAATCATAGGTGGCCTTCGCGGTTAAACGAATCATATGCCTGCATTCCAGTATTCTAATCTATGATTTAACTCAAGAAAGGAAAAAAAAAAGTTACCACTCAGCCTCTTGAAAGCTATTGAAGAGACGGGTGTCGTAATTATACAGTCTATTTAACTTTAGTTTAATAGCCGTTTCATATTGACGAAGACAGCCCAACTTGCTCTAAAGGATATTATATACAAAGAGAGTGCGACACAACATGCTTTGTCATGAGTCATGTCCAAATGAGGTGGTCGAAATGGAGAAATGTAGATCATATTTCTCCATTTCGACGACCTCATTTGGTAGATGAATTTTAATGTTGGGGTGAACGTTTGTTGTTCGTAAAAAATGAAAGATTTGACTCCATGTGTAAATTGAACACCAAACGTTAGAGACAACAAATTCTTTCCCCAATATGAGACTAACGAGACAAAATTAGACCAACAAGAGGACCATGTGTCATTGTCAATAAGAGGACCAGGTGTGTCATTGTCCTTTGTTATATAGTTTTACATTCGTAGCAGAATAATGTACAGTTGTACACATATGGCACTGCCAGCTAAATCTGCATGCAAAATAGGGGATTTTTAACTTCCATGGCTCTACCTGCCTTCATAATTGAGAGAGTCCTATTCAGAATTTTATGCCCAAATTTAATGAAAGGGAAATAACAAGATTCTCTCACTTTCTTTCTCCTATTGGCCACAAAAAAGCAAACCCAAAAGATAAAAACTTTCCAAGAGAATTCAACGCACCCCCTAACGTTCCAGATATTTCCTTCCGATGGCACGAGCCTGCCACGCGCCCATTCCAATAACTCAATCCAAGCCGTCCACGTTTTTCTAATCCAATGGTCCAAACAGCCCTTAGCCACCGATATATTGACTCCATTCTCTCCACTTCTCAATCCTCACCTCCACACCACACACTCCTCTCTCAAACCCTCATTTTCCTCTGCTTTCAGCTCTTCTTCAACCTCCGATTCTCTCTCACACACACACACTAATTTCCTCTCTCTTTCACACAATCCGTGTGTTTTACTTTCTGCAACCATGCTTCTCAAAGGTTCTCCTGCCTCCTCTCACTTGATCACTCGCGGGGAGAACTTGGGTCCTCTGTTTTCCTCTGCTCCATCTTCCTCTTCGTCCAAGCTTTCGTATTCGTTCTCTCCTCTGAACTCGTTCACATCTCTGAATTCGATTCTTCTGTTCCCTCCAACGAGAAATGAAGGTGGGGTTGTGGTCTGTGCGTCCAAGAATGCGAATAATCGGCCACTTACCGGTGTGGTTTTCGAGCCATTTGAAGAGGTGAAGAAGGAGCTAGAACTCGTACCTACTCTCCCTCAAGTCTCTATTGCTCGCCAGAAGTTTACCGACGAAAGTGAGGCAGCCATTAACGAACAGATCAAGTGGGTTTTGTCTCTTTTTCCTTCAAATATTGTATATTCACGAAAGAAATGTTTTTTTAATAGTTCTTTAAGACTATGATTGATTTTAAGTCTTAAAAGTTCAATCTTGAAGCATTATCCGATTGTGTGTGTCAAAGCACTTTCATCTTTCATGTGAAAATTGTGCCTTTAATTGTTTAATGTGGATTTTTCTCTCTGAGTGTGTGGATTCGTGTAACGATGTGGTTGCAAATCTTTGCGTTTTGAGTAGTAGTTTGGATTTCAATGTCTCATTTAAAAGTAATGTAATTGCGCCTCTTTTCTAATTTCTGATTGAAATTTGGTTATATTTGTTTATGCTCTGTTTTCTAACGATTTATTTGTTTCTTTGATGGAATATCAGTGTGGAATACAACGTCTCCTACGTTTACCATGCCATGTTTGCCTATTTCGACAGGGACAATGTCGCGCTCAAGGGTCTTGCCAAGTACTTTCTTGGACATCCTCAATACTATTTTGACAAATCTTATACATAAATTTCGTTGTTCATGGTTGTGTTCTATACAGGTTTTTCAAGGAATCGAGTGAGGAAGAGAGGGAACATGCTGAGAAGTTTATGGAATACCAGGTGTTTGGTTTATTCCTTGCCTAATATATAATCTTCCATGTATTGCTTACTGTAATAGGCTTTAAATTCAGTTTCTCATTTGTCAAATTGAATTGCTCATCTCTTTTTTTCTTTGTGGTGATTCTTAGAATAAACGCGGTGGAAGAGTGAAATTGCAGTCTATTTTGATGCCTGTTTCTGAGTTTGATCATGCAGAGAAAGGAGATGCTTTATATGGTTAGTTTTATTGGCCCTCGTGTATTTGTGATGAAAACTATACCCTTATAATGAAATTTTGGCCCCCCAGACACCATTCTTTTTTATTCTATGCTCAAGGTGTTCCTTTTCCAAATTATCATTGCTCAATTGGGATTTGCATGAATTTTTTTCTCAGTGATGCGCTCGCATCAAATAGTGTTTAGTTGTGTCATAGCACGGTATACTAGAGTTTTGAAGACATTGGTTGCCTGCTTAACAATAAAATTGGATGTGAGTATTTCATTAAGTGTGTGCTGGATGATAGTAAAGGGAATAAAAAAATAGAATGGCATGGCCCTAAGACTTGGTTTATGCAGATGCTTTCAGCCATTGGATTATTTGAAAGGATTGTAATATACTGCGTTAACTGTTTATTATTGAGCTCTAACTCTGTCCTGTTCTTTTGATTTAGCAATGGAGCTTGCATTGTCTCTGGAGAAACTGACAAATGAAAAGCTGTTCAACTTGCACCATGTAAGGCGTTTATTCTTATTTGACGCCATCTTCTTAACTTTATGATGATGTTCTTTACCTGATTATATTTGGTAAATTTGATGTCATTTCAGTAGTAACATCGTTTGCTTTGTCGTATCAATTGACACGTGTCACTATGTTTGAAGATTCAAATGTTTTTATGCTATGTTCTAGCTTCTAACACATGCTTTTATGTTTGACTATGCGACTAACAGGTTGCTGAGAAGAACAAAGATGTGCAGTTAACAGATTTCGTTGAAAGCGAGTTTTTGACTGAGCAGGTGATTCTTGATGTCCTTCTTTGTTTATCCTGAGTTGGAAAGGTTTCTATTTCGCATGGTTTTGATGTTCTACTTTTACCTTTCCAGGTGGAAGCCATCAAGAAAATATCTGAATATGTTGCCCAACTAAGGAGAGTTGGCAAGGGACATGGTAGGAACCAATGATCCAATATCATTGTCATCTTTACTTTATCCTATATTGTTATCTTTGTATATTTTAATATGACCTTACTTTATCTGCTCTGATTTTTCTGTTTCTTAACGTCCATTCCAGGGGTTTGGCACTTCGATCAGGCACTGCTTCATGGGGACGGAGCCGTTGATGCAATTGCTGCGTGATGATGAATCTGTTGCCTTTCTTTCTTGGTTACCAGTTTGAAGGTGCTTGCACGGTCTGTTGTGCAGATGGTTCTTGTTTAGAGATTTTTGATTGTGTGGTTAGAACCTGCTGTAGTTTTCTAGACGAGGAAAATACATGGGACTGATTTTAGTCGAGCTAGTTAAAAATGCAGCATATGAACTTTGTCCTTCTATTAATGCAAACCTTAGCGAAATATATGAGCCTCTTTGTTTCTGCTTACTTTCTAATGACCATAGTCTTTGTGACCATATTGAACTGGTGCCAGACAAAAATAAGGAGGGCCTCCATAGTCTTTGTGACCATATTGAACTGGTGCCAGCACTTGCAGTCCCAAGTACTCATGGTGGCGCTTCTAGTTATTTTCTGTGGCTTTAAGGACTTGAAAAGGGCAAGGATTCTCCTACTCCTTATATGCCGTTCAAAATCATATAAAAAGGATGGGCATCTCACACATAGCCTCAAAAGCTCTTTACCTTTATCTTGAGTACATGCAGCCAAACGACGTTTCTCAAATCACCAGCTGCAAGGCCAAAAAGGAGCACCAAATAACTAAAGATTATAACTATAAAAAATCGAGATCCACAATCTATCTAAGAGTAGGGTGGTCCAGAGTTACCTATATCTAGAGAAACGGCAAGCAGAACCCTAGAAAAATCTTCCGAGTTAAAAAGAGGTAACAAAAATCTTCCGAGCGAAAAAAGGAAAGAAAAAGGGCACGCCAACACCATTTTGGATTACGCCACCCTTCAGCGGACTCTACTAAATGAGCTTCCTTCCATGTATATTTTTACTTGTTTATTAATAACTTTTTGTTGAAGCAGTTCATCCATTATTGTAAAATCTGGACGCAATGACATATCATTGTGCACTCGTGCTAAACTTTGCAGTACAATGCTAAAACAGTTTGTAATATGAATTTAGGAAGTTTTCTCTGCAAGGGTTTCATGTTCATCATGCTTAGTTTATTTTCGGCCTCAGTTAACTGAGAATACGGACGCAATGACATATTGAATGCGAAGGGAATCATATCAAATGCAAATACTGTTAATTGTTGAGCCAAGGGAAAAAATTTGCAAAATCATTCGCTAGTTTAGAACTGCATAACCAATTCAAATATGTAGCAGGTGCATACTTCCATAGGTCAAAAACTAAGTTTACAGTAGTCCTAAAAACTGGTCGAGAAAATATATCAGCACTTGGGATAAGAAGTTCCATGTCAACAAAATGCACCAGCATTTCAGCCACTTGAGGAAAAGGACGTTGAAGCCCTACGAGTCTGTCACGAAAGAAAACGAATAAAAAACCACTGTTATTGTGAATATAACTTCCTCTTCATGCTTTACATAAATGAAGACTAATTGGAAAATAAAGTACCCTGTTCATGAAAAGCATTGGAAAAGAAATTCAATGCACAAACTCTTGAACAATTCTATATATATTACAGCAGCAAATAAGACTGTATATTATGAATGCATAAAACTCACTCCGTGGTAGCAACAGTTCCACATTCCACTGCTTAAATTCTACAAGTCACAAAACTACAAGCACTTGTAAAAACCAGTCTAAACATATTTATCAGTATCGGTTTCAACTTCTTGTTTTCCAAATTCAGTTAGACGAAAGATAAGTTAATGAACATAAAACGAACCCACATCAATGTAATCATCTATCAGCTCTTAAGTTAATGTAAAAATCTGGCGAGCAAAGAATTAAAAATTGTTCTTGACAAGAAATGCTCTGCCTCTCAGCGTTATAATCACATTACCTACCCGTTCTTTCTCTTAGTAGGAAACTGCATCTGTCTGGTCGAGTAAGACAAGGACCTCTTTGAAAGAATCAACGGAGCAATATTGATATCCTTCCCCAGGAACACCAAAATCTTTAACGGTTTTGTTCACAAGGTCTAGCGATACTAACTCATGCTTTGATTTTATGTGGTAATTATCAAAAGTATAATCATAATAGGAAGCATCTTCCCTAGCTCCACAAAGCATCAGTAATACTTCGCCACTCTTCCTAAAACATAATGCCCTGGGTAGAAGTCTTTCCGGCCCTTGTGGACCAAGAGTAATCAATTTGGTCCACGACTCCTTTATGCCATACTCTTTCATCACCCATATATCAAGAAAACGGTCTTCACATCTGTCATCCATTGAGAACAGAGCAATGGATTTTCCGTCTCCTGAAACAGATAATTGTAATCCCAGTTTGAAATCACATATTAAACTCTTTGGCACCGGCATCTCACAAAATAACTTACTGCTCACGTCAAATGTCAATATAAAATATTCATTGCCATAATCTGTCCGGCGGAGTACAGGCCAGTGAAGAGTCCCATTAACAAAAGCCTGGGATTCGCGTGCACGTAATATACATGAAGGAGAAACAAAATCCAGACTGGTCCATGAGCCAGTGGCAATTGAATAAATCTCAGCTACAGTTGTGCTATCATCAGACATATCCAATAGGTTAACAAGTCTCACAACCTTATAGTCATTGGTATTAGCATCAAAACCAAACCCAATAGATGCATCGGATTCGTATCCACCATGTGTCATATAGGTAACACCAGGACAGGGAAGGGTCACTAACTTTCTAATGGCTGGGTTCCATATAAAGATATCGTCACCATAACAGAAGATATCATCCGCAAGGCAGATTAGCCCGTTACAAGTGCCGACCACACGAAGATGTTGATTGTACAGTTCTTGCTTTGGAGCAATTGGAAATTCTATCTTGGAGTACTCGTCAAAAGCCTGGTTATCATAATGCAGAGAATAAACCTCTTCCTGTACACAGGGCCGGCCCTGACATTTTGGTGGCCCATGGCCAAAAATTAAACGAGGCCCTTAGTATATAATTTTTTTAAAAAAATTTGCTCATTCCTTTTTCTTTTTATGAATATGAAGCAAAATCCCACTGCTTAAATAGAATAATTTCATTCAACCAACAAAAAAAAAACCAAAAGTATATGATCCATAAACAACAAAAATCATATTTAGGGGCATAGAGCTTCTAAAATTTCAGCAAAACAAAACAAAAGTTTTTAAGTGGCTCTTCCATAGGGCTTAGTTCTCAAGTGGCTCAATTGTACACAAAAAGCTCCTTTGACTTCCACTTCATCATCTACAACCTCTTCAAAATTCTTGATCTTCTTGATCTTCATTGAAAAATTCTTGATCTTCTAGCATTTTGAGAAGCAAAATCATCAATAACCTCTTCAAAATCAATATTTTCCAACATATTCTTTTCAATACATAAGATTGCCAATCCATTTAACCTTTCTTGTGACATAGTTGATCGCAAATAAGATTTTATTAATTTTAATTTTGAAAAACTTCTTTCTGCAGATGCCACAGTTACTGGCAAAGTCAGTATAATTCTATAAGCAATTGAGACATTTGGAAAACAATCCACAACTTTTACAAAATCAAGAACTTCAATGGCTGTCTTTGTCTCTTTCGGTAAATACATTTGTAACACTTCCAATTCAGAAAACAAATCATCAGCATTAATATCAGATTCATTATCATGTGTTAAAGCAACTTCAAGATTTCTACAACATTCACGCAATCTAATATAATTCATTTGAAATAAATTCTTAGGATCAAACAAAAAACCAAAAATGCCTTCAAATATTTCTAATTGTTCAAACCTACTCCTCAAAGAAGAAATTGCAGCATCAACTACAACAAGAAAATAATTCACCCTAAAAGATTCTTCAGCAGATTGAAATGTCTCTTTATGGTCATTTTCATCAAATTGTTTTTTTCTTCGACTTTGACGTTTTTCAGGAAATACAGGGTCAATTTCCATCTTTGATGCAATCTCTTTAGCAGAAAGTAGGGCCAATGTGAACCCATGTTCCCTATAGTCTACAAAATAAGAGACCAGCCCCTTCAAATGTTTTATTGCAACATCAATTTGCATATCTCCATATTGCAATTTTTGGCTAACCAAGTCAATTTTTTTCAAAATGTTATGCCATATACTCATGCCCAACAAAAATTCAAAATTTTCAAGTTCATGTGTAGCTAAAGATTCAGCTTCACTCTTTGTTTTTGCATCTTCACTAACCCTAGACAATTCAAATAGTGCTTCTCTTATATCATCAGTTTGGGTTATTATGGCTTTAACACTATTAATATGACTTTCCCATCTTGTTGTTGACAATGGTTTAAGAGTTAATCCATGGACATGATCTTGAAAAATTTTCCACCTCTTTGTAGAACTAGCAAATAGAGTATACATACGTTGCACAACACCAAAAAATGACACAGCTTTAACACAAGAGTTTGCCATATCACAAACTGTTAAATTAAGAGAATGACAAGCACATGGCATATAAAATGCCCTAGGATTTATTTTTAGAAACCTTATTTGCACACCCTTGTTTTTCCCCTTCATGTTAGCTCCATTATCATAACCTTGGCCCCTTACATTATTAATATCAAGTTCAAGACTTAAGTTACATTTTTCTGTACCCTGCCTTGCCTTGAGTGGTGGTTTTTTGGTTTTGAGGAACTTTTTAGTTTTACATCCATAGGCTTACCAAAGATTGGCATCTCCATTGCACATAATTTGTCATTCCTATTCCTGGTCTTCCTTACAACATAAGATTACTTGATTATCGATACATTCCCCACCCAAAAGGGTTCCCTTATGTCAACAAGAAATGTTGATCCAGATATTTGTATGGTTACCCCATCTTCTAAATTCTAACACATGTTTGTTCCGTACAACTAATTTTACTATTTTGGACGATTGCAGGAGTTTCTAGCTTTGCCCAGGGCTGATGCCATCCATCTTCTTGCACAGTACAATGGAAACGCTGAGACAGTCATTCAGCAAATATTTGCATAGTTTGAATTGTAGCGGTATTGCAGCTATGTACAATTAATTTTTCCCTATTATTTGATTCAATTTGTGCATAAGCGTTTCCCATGTAGATAGACATACACGTAGTTACAAAGAGAGTTACAGTATTATGTCTTGTTAACGCTTACTTACACTGGCTGTTCTTGGTATATTATTATTTATGGGGATTCTGTCTGAAAAATCAGCCGTTAATAAAACACTGTTGGTTGATCAAAAGAGGAAGAAAGCATTGCTGGATTGATTTTGTGGTTTTATATTGTTTGTTAGCATTGAGGTAGGTCCAATTTGCCTTAGGTGTGTGGGTTTTTGGAGTCTTCCATTGCCTTGATTCTAAATGACAATGCATGAAAATTGCAAAAACCCCTATATGTGAAGCATCAAATAAGTCACTATTGGGTTTGAAAATGGAATTGAATTTTCTTTTTCCTTTAGGAAAAAGATAATTATTTAAATTTCATTAATAAAAAGAACTAAAATACAATCAAACGTTGTAACCGGCAAAAAGAATTATAATACAAATATACAATCAGCGTCCATCCAGCCCCAAGACACAATTAGGAGCCCTATACACTTCGCTTATGCAGTAGAGGCTGCTGTGCATTATTATGCTAAATTTCCAAATAATTTTCAGAAAATATATTTCCAAATTCAACCATTTGCATTGCCATTGCTAGCTAGAAGGAGCAGCACACTTACAACACAACTCATTACTTTGTGTTGGCTTTTGGTGATTTTGACTCCCGGAGCTTCTTTTCGTCCGAAAGTAATTTTGCAAACCTACAATACAATACAATACAATACGAGCATTTTCTTGGTCAACAAGCATTAACACAATCAATGATGATGATGAGGAGTCGTTGACTAATTCTAATTCAAGAAAAAATGTTGATTCTGCATCTGCAGCATAACCATCTGATAAGGGTTACCTTTGAAGTGCTTGCTGATTGGTGCCACCATTTTCAACTGGTTCGTAGAGACCCGTATCCAAATCCATGTTTGAAATTGGTTTCTGGAGCAATGTATTCCCAACTTCCACTAGATTTTCTAAGTTCTTCTGGGTAGCTTTATCAGCTGAAGCTAGATTTCCCTCTAGTGTGTCCTCCTGGTTTCTCAATAGAATATATATTTGTAAATTAATGAACATATAAATTATAATATAAATATATTATATTCAAACTCAGTTACCTCAATTCTGAGGTAGTTCTGTTCAGATTGGAAGGCTTGGAAAACCACACAGTTGTGGTAGTCAACCATACAAGCACTTGCTTCATTATAGCATTCCAATAAAGGACTTGACCCATCCTCGTACAACCACCCTATAATACCCCATTTGGAAGCCTTCTTAGCATTGTACTTCAGCTCACTTCTGTCTGAGCCTGTCCCCAACGAAACCATCAAAAGACGATCGTAACACTCCTTGGGCTTAATCTCCATGAAATCTGGATTTTGCTTCTTAATTTGTTTTATCACTTCACTAATGGCAACCAAAGCCTGCAACCATATTAAATTTAGCAACAGTAAAATTAAGTCAGTCATGCCACACCCTCCAAATTGCATACAAAACACTGCGTCACAGTCTGAGAAATGCTAACGGGACTTGCTTAAAAGAAAGTTTCTACATGGATGTGCTGCCGCGTCATGATTTTGGTTGAAGAATTAGCGTTGAGCTGTTAGTGAGGCTGTACATGAAACTTTCTTATAAGCAAGTCTCGTTAGCATTTTCCGTCACTCTTACTCTACATGGTATACTAAACTCTAAACCCTATTCAAAAAATTCATGCGTAATTATAAGAGCATCACCGGATTATTAGCGGCCACACCACCATCGATGAGGTTGAACTCTTTTAGTTCCCCTTGTTGATCATCGTTTTTAAAATAGTGGGCAGGGAAGTAAGTTGGTGCTGCTGAGGTACCAATGCAAATGTCTGAAAGTTTAGCATTCAACACCGGACGGCTTGTCACCTTGATCATGACAAAAATACTTAGAACTTCGCTTAATTATCAATCAAATTCCACATGAAATTATTGATTTCTCATAATTGGTAATTAGTAATTAATATATTGAATAAACAACCTGATAAGAGGAAAATATGACAGGCAGAAGTTTCTTGACGTCAAACGTTGGAATAACCACTTTTGTTAAGGTTTGGTCCAACCTTTTGTCCCCTACTATCTTTCTGATTAGCTTGTGCAAATACTTTCCATCATACTTGGGTCCTGTTAGAACTTTAACTAGATCTACAACTGTGGCACACAATCCCCTGTATATTCATGAGTAACCGAAAGAGCATTAGTTACTAGTTTAGTGGTACTTTTCTTCATGTTGTTTGAAGAGATCCGAGTTCGAATCTTTCTTCTCCGACATAAATGCAAAATTATATATCGATGCATCTAATTACAATTTTCGTATTAGTGTTTCAATAATATTACCTTGATTGTGGGAAAATTTTTGGACAGTTGTCAAGGTAAAATGGGACAATATCTTTGGCAGCGTATAATGGTCTATTGTTGTCATTAGGTGCTGCTAGCATGGTCGCAATTAGACCACCTGTACTTGTCCCAGAAATAACGTCGAAGTAATCTGCAAGCCTTGCATCTTCACCATCTAGTTCCTAATTAGTTAATACCACCTAATTAATAATGTAATTATGTAAAGCTTATATATCGAAAACGAAAAGGTTACCAAACGAGCCCTTACCTGAAGTTGAGATTCAAGATAAGCGAGAAGAACACCGGGGATGATTCCTCTAATTCCTCCTCCATCTATACTGAGAACTGTTATGAGTTTGCCATATTTTGGAGGCTGAATGACATTTACAGATGAGCTGCTAGTTTCCATTTGTTGTGACAAGCTTGTGGATGTGGTGATCGATATAATATGTGAACCTATATAGATACACAATAGAAAATAACACGGTGGCTTGGACTTGGAGGCATTGGGTTTTGCGTGCTTATACCATGCCTTCAATACTCCTTATTTTATAGCCATTTGTTCATACTTCAATATCAATCCAATTTAATAAAACCTAGGCAGTTTTTTTGGTCAAGAAAAAAACCTAGAGGTAGTGTTTTCAAGAACATGTGTTGGTTTACTAAAGGATTATAAGATAAGGTCAAGATAAAAATGATTGGACTTAACTGATGGTCTCCCAATATGAAGTACCTTATTGCTATTCAAATCTTAAAATAGGTTAAATTCTAGTCTTACTAATGTCACACGAAATTCCAGCAAATATACGTTTGTTTCCGTGACCAATTCAATCAAAATAAAATAACCTTTGTGGGTTTATTTTATTTTTTTTCCTTATTCAAAGAATAGGAAGATCAAATCCACAAGGAACACAATTAAATTAACAAATTATCATATAATTATTATATTTTGCAAAGATGAAATCCAAGAATTTTTGACATTTGGGTGGCAATGTTGGTGAGCCAGTCCAGTCAACTCAAGTAATGTCATACTAATTACTTGCACTTTCTTTTAGGGTTCGTTTGAGAGTTATTCTGAATAGGCATGTGGGTTTCTCCATATCACTTTAAGTGCCCGTTTGACATTACTTATTTGTGGTGATAAATGATTTTAAAAAAAATTTGAGAGGCCCAACCCATTTGGTAAATTATGAGAAAATCACTTATTGTTAACATTTGTTGTGAGAGAAAATTATAAGGGAAAGCAGTTAGAGCATTTCCAGCAGGGAGGGCAAGGGGAGGGCTGGGGGGGGGCAAGCCCAAAAACCTGTTTCCAGCAACAAAACCCAACCGGGGCAAGCAGTGGGACCCAGCGAACTGGGCTGGCCCGAGGGCAAGTCTAGCCCCAGGTCCAAAACTCGGGCAAGCTGACGTAATTAATGACGTCAGCGCTACAGTGCCGCTACAGTGCCGCGCACAGTACTCTCTGCCACGTGGCTGCTGCTGGGCTCTCCGATTCGATTTTTTCCAGCAATCCAACGGCGACGATTTTTTGTGCAATAAAAAATTGAAAAAATGTTTTAAAAATTCCAAAAAAATACTGAATTTATTTTCTATAAAAATACCAACAAATACTCTTCACTTTTGAAAAAATACTGAAAATCTTATCCGATATGAATAGTATTAACACGTAGGAACCCAAAAATCTTACCCGAAAATATTATCCAAAATAATTGTTTAAATAAAAAAAGTTGTGAAAAAAAACAAAAAAATGAATAGTAGTTGCCATAGCAAGGGTTTGACTGCTGGAAACACACATAGCTTAATATGGCAAGGGCAGCCACTATTCACATGAATAGTGTCAGCCCTAGCCCCCCCCCTTGCCATGGCAAGGGTTTGACTGCTGGAAATGCTCTTATAAAATTACTCTTCTTAGCCCTCTCTGTTTTTTCATTTTTTCACTCCCTGCAGCCCCATTCGTTAGTTTCAAATCAATCCCTGTAGGTGTAAGGCCATACAAGTTTAGGTGAGAGGTGGTCTCACCAATTATCCCATTTTTGGTCCTCTAGATATAAGAATTTCTCCATAAATGACATTTTGCTCGACTTTTAAGGGGGTGTATTCAAGTAAGATTTTAAAAGAGTTATACGGAATTATAAAGTTTATAGAGTTCAATATATTTCAATTGATTTTTATAAACTCCACAGAGTTTGATTGAATTCCAAGATTGATTTTAATGGTTTTTGTTAGAGTTTTATCATAGATTTTAAAAGAGTTTATTAGAGTTTTAATTAGTTCATAAGAAAAAATATATATATGAAGATAATTTTTTCCTTTTTGTTTTGGCATGGACTAGATATATATAGATATTGTACATTGATAAAGATAAAAGGACAATGCAGAACCAAAAAAAAAGGGATGACTATAGATCGATATTAATTGAATACACCCAAACTTTTAAATAATTTTTTCCTTTTTGTTTTGGCATGGACTAGATATATATAGATATTGTACATTGATAAAGATAAAAGAAGGACAACGCAGAAACAAAAAAAAAGGGATGACTATAGATCGATATTAATTGAATACACCCAAACTTTTAAACTCTTTTAAAATCTTTTAAAATCTTAATTGAATTAGTTCCTATCTTAATTGACAACAAAAAAAGGGTCATGGAGGAAATTGAAAATTGAAAATTAGATGATAGTTCGGGGGTTAATTTGGCAGTTTACTCTTATGAATTTAGGGGCTCAAACAGCTTGACCTGCGGTATCTAAGAGTTTTTTGATGCACCTCAACGGGTGAGATTTGGTTGCATTTGGACCCTGGACTTAATTTCCAAGTTTAATGCTACCTTGATCATACCCAGCACATGCTAGAACGGAATATCTTTGATTTGGCATTAAGAAGTAAGAAATAACACCATGAAGACAAGTATTGAATATGCCCGTCAAGGCCAAAGAGGAGCACCAAATAAGTATAAGATTATAAAAAAATGAGGTCAACAATCTACCAGTACTGAGCAAAACAAGCCGGAAAAAAATTTGAAGCACAAATTCAGAACTAGTTTTTCTAGGTCTAACCGCAAAAACAGTGACCACACAAGTACAACAACATTAAAAAGGCTGTTCATAATTAATTAGGCAGTGGATGCTTGTTGGGCTGCTTGCCTCTTTTTGGCCTCTTCGATGATAGTGAGCTTGATACCTTTTCCCTTAGGAAGACTTACCCATGGCTTCGTCCCCTTGCCAATGGTGAACACATTAGCCAACCGAGTAGCGAATTCATGGCCGGTGGCATCCTGAACGTGGATTGTCTCAAAACTTCCCTTGTGTTTCTCCCTGTTCTTGATTACTCCAACCCGCCCCCTGTTCCTTCCACCTGTAACCATGACCACATTCCCAACATCAAACTTAATGAAGTCAGTGATCTTGTTGCTCTCTAGGTCAAGCTTAATGGTGTCGTTGGCCTTGATGAGAGGGTCAGGGTAGCGAATGGTTCGCCCATCATAGGTGTTGATGTACGGGATACCCTTTTGCCCAAACTGCACTGACCGGACTTTGCAAAGTTTAAACTGCAGAGAAAAACCATCTCAAAATATCAGAAAGAAGCAAAAGTCCATTAGTTAACAAGATGAAAGGCCGGATAGTTGCCTATATAAGACCACCTTGCATGCTAGTACAGCACAGCCAATACATAAGTTGAATTCAAGTTATCTAATTTGAAAATAAAATAAGGAAAAAGATATCTAGAGAACTTAAGGAAATAACCTTTGCCTCTTCATCCCTGATCGAGTGGAGACGGAACCGACCCTTTGTGTCATAAAGGAGACGGAAATTCTCATTTGTTTTGGGGATTGAAATAACATCTGCAAATCAGGGGGAATACAAGTTCTACAAAGTCAAAATTTATTCCCATGAAATGGAGGGACACAGCTCCCAATACCAATGCGATTTTACAAATAGAACACATCCACAGAACATATGCACTTGAAGCAATTGAATACTGTTATATACAATCCTTTGGCTACTAAATACCCAAAAATCTAATGTTCCTTTCAAATCACCAAACAACTGGTGAAATATGGGTGCCTTGATACGAGAACATAAAAAATCATCCTACAGCAATATCTATGGGACAATTGTTCTCATGAAAATACAACTCATATTGACAAGAAAACAGAACAAGGCCTAGAAGAAAAAGAAAAAGAATAAAAAAGATTCAGTTAGAAGATAGGATGAGCATACCCATGAAACCC